GAGAGAGAGAGAGAGAGAGAGAGAGAGAGAGAGAGAGAGAGAGAGAGAGAGAGAGAGAGAGAGAGAGAGAGAGAGAGAGAGAGAGAGAGCATATACGGACGTATCATTGTATCCACACCCACATATATGTTTTCCATGGAAAGTGGGAAGGGGCTGCTTGCCAATTATCACAATACTTCATATGTTTTGAAGGAACAAACCCCCTTATCCCTGCCTCTCTGGCGATGCATCCCCTGGTTCACTTCCCGTCTCTCTTGCACTTTCGTTTTTCTCAGCAGAGCTTGTGGCCAGATTGGATTGTGCATGCCATGGATCTGCCTCCGCGTATTGGTTGGAAGCATGTGTATATTCACTTGTGCATCTTATGGTCCCTTGATTAATTCAATTATTAATTAATGTAATTAATAATTATAATTATAATTTGCCCCGTCATGTGTCCTGAAGTCGATATCTGTAGCTGATACGACCTTTCTTTTGCCTCTCGGTGTGTGAGCAGATGATGCCTTATGGTGCCCCTCCACCTCCATATCCGGCGATGTACCCTACAGGAGCTATGTATCACCCGTCTATCCCTCCGGTAAGAAGATGTCTTGAGAGCCAATAAGAGGTGTGATAGAAAAAAATAAAGTAAAATCATTTGCATAAATATGGAATGGGTGAGAGAATTGAAATCAGACTTGTCTCAATCTTGCTTACAACATGCATACATGTATGAGCCGCACAAGTTGCAATGTCTCCCAGTGGCGCACTTCACAGGAACCCAAAGTAGCGCAGCGGGGCTTCCGGTTATGGGTCCGACGCCCTGCCTATGTTTGATGATCTCCCAGCCAGATTCATATGAGCACGTCTGAGTATGTGTCGACTGCTTCCCCAGGTGGACTTTTGTACTTGACGATCCGCCATCCAAAGTGGGTGCTGCCTCTCTTGCTGCCACCCTGTTTTGGTGGCAGCACTGTCGGTTCCTATTACGCTTTTGCCCTCTGCTGCTGTTGTTGCCACTGTTGTCGCCGCCCTTTATTGGGGGCAGCGCCTTTGTCTTTGTTTCCTAGTTCTCTTTTGTGCCTGCTGCTGTTTTTGCCTCTGTTGCTGCCGCCTTTTGTTTCATGACAGACTGGCAAGCCAGAGGACTCAAAATCATCAGCCGGAACGTGAACAGGCTGGGAAACGCACTGACAAAGGAAGATAAATCAAGGGACTCCGGCTAGAACTCCACGACAAGAACAGACCCAGACCAGACATGGTTTTACTCTAAGAAATACTCGTACCTAGTCTCCCAAATCACGGCAACATAAAAAGAGCACTAGAAAAAGCCTGGGCGGTTGTACTTTCGCCTTATGGTCCAATCTAGAGGGGCTCAGCAAACGGGGGACAGCTATACTCGTACCTAACGCCTCCAAGCTTTGGGCGACAGGTCAGATTCTCAGCAGTGGGGGAGAGCGCAGAAGGAAGGTGGTCATGGCTAGACATCAGATGGCAAGACGAGGAATTGAGAATTCTCAACATTTACGCCCCTAACTCAGAAAACGAACGCCTAGCCTTCTTCAGCAGCATCCAATCCCTCATCCCTCATCCCCAACCGGTGATCATCACAGGCGATTGGAACACGACCTTGGACCCCAACCTCGACCGCATCTCTCGGTCCCAACTGATAGGCCCGACAAGAGCCGGAACCCACTTAAGAAATATCATGACAGAGTTCGACCTCGTCGACCCCTCCAGAACGCTGCACCCAGGGAAAAAGGCCTTCTCACTGGTAAAAAAGAACCAGGCCAACTGGACGTCGCTGTCCCAGATCGACTTCTTCCTGATCTCCAAGCACCTCCACGGAACAATCAAACAGGCTGAGATCCATCCACCCGTGGCCTTCAGGGGTCTGGATCACAAACCTGTAGAACTGCACCTGAACCTCAACTCCCCAATACAAACAGGACGGTGTTTCTACAGATTTAATAACTTCCTCTTAGCCACTGTAACCGACAGTTACACAGACCTTACCCAAACAGTCTCCGTGGAATCCAGAAGCATAGCAGGAGAACGAAAAATCAGAAAAGAAGAAAGAAAAGAAGAACTCCAACTCACCATATCACTCGCTGAGGACAACGCTATCACAAACTCCTCAAACGCCTTCTACAGCCAACTACTCGAATCAGCAAGAGATGAACTCAACGAATGGAGGAGGTGGGAGCTGAGAGGGCTGCAGATTCGAGCTAGGATGATCGATCACACCCTTAACGAATCCTTGACAAAACACGTCTTCGCAAAAATCAAAGCTAACGCCAGAAATAACAACATCGATGGGTGGAAGGGCCAGAACAATCAGAACAGGGTCGACCAATCAGGCTCGGAGATGGTGAAGATAGCCAGATCATTCTACGCACAACTCTATGAATCCAAAACACCCTCCCCGCTCGGAAGGACCAGAACAATCAGAACAGTGTTGACCAATCAGGCTCGGGGATGGTGAAGATAGCCAGATCATTCTATGCACTATATGAATCCAAAATACCCTCCCCGCTCCCCTCAGCCAACTCAACAGCACGACAACGAATGATGGCCTACCTGGAAAGGACAATCATACAAGAACAAACCGAAGGGTTGGACAGACCACTTTCGATAAGCAAACTACACACAACCCTGACTCAAATGGGCAACGATAAAGCCCCTGGCATCGATGGGCTATCAAAAGAATTCCTGGTCCACTTCTGGCCCACATTAGGCGAGGATCTTCTCAACTTCCTTAACGACAGCAGAGACGGAGGAGGACTAGGCGAAAATCTGGGTACAAGTGTAGTATCTTTAATCCACAAGAAAGGCGAAAAAGAGGATTTGAAAAACTACAGACCTATCTCGCTACTCACGACCCCCTACAAAATCCTAGCGAAAGCATTGGCCAATAGGATCATAAATCTAACAGACAAATGTTTCCACATTGACGGGTTTCATCCCAGGCCGGTACATACTCGACAATGTGACAACTTTGAACGAAGCGGCGAAAAAGATTACCGAGAAATGGATGAAAGCAGCGATCCTTTTCTTTGACTTTGAGAAGGCCTATGACCAGGTCAACTGGGATTTCCTTCACGCTTGCATGGAAAAATGGGAGTCGGCCTGAATTTCAGAAAGTGGGTCGGGGTACTGTACGATGACGCGTTAAATGATTGGTGGCCCAGGGTTGTGTGGGCGCGTCAGGAAGCTATGTGGTGACATTAGGGGTGTACGCTGGATGATGAGAGCTCGCTGATGTGGCATTTAAGCCGAGGTGGAACTGCATTCTGCTGTTGGTTGTGTCGAGGCAAAGACCGGTCATCATAAATGCACATCAGGTTGCCGGTGAGAAATCTGTGGTTGGGGGCAGCATTATGAGGTATGTTGCTCTCTTCCTTATCTACCCTCTTCATTGCTTCTTACAGTGAGGAAGTGAGTTCTGTCTTGAGACTCCTCTCAATGTGAGGTGCCGCGAGCGCTCAACCTTGAGAGTCGACATTCTTCCCGGGCAGCAAGCTGGTGGGAGACGGGCGAAGCCTCTGAAGGGCCTTGGACGAAGCACTCGGGTCACGGTCATCATGCCAACCCGCTGGGACTAGTACACGCGTGCTTTGTCGCAAGTCCTTGGTCTTGCTGCTGTGCAATAGAGGTCATGTAGGGGATGCCAACCCTTTGGACAGACGCTTATCAGACTGTCTTTAAATATTTCTGGCGGGGACTCGGTGTTGATTCTGGCTGTGATCGTCGTTCTGTTCTACGATGTTAAATGATTCCTGAGGACCTTGGGGGCTGTCCTTAAACTGCCTCTTGATCAGCCAGATCAAATTGGGTGTAAGCCTCGTCGCATGCGAGGGTAAATAAGGTGCAGGGGCTGGCAGGTTCGGCGTAGACTTGGGGCACAGGGGTGGGCCGGATTGCACACCTTCAGACACGCTGCTCAACCAGATGCTCAGGACGTCGACACAAAGTGACTACTCAAGAGGGATACATGGGGAGGGTTGGATTCTGGTACCTGTTCGCTGTGGCACTAATTAGATGAATTGCCATCCAGCATGCATCTCCACAGGTAATTATTTTTCATTTTGATTACTTAGTTGTACGGACTTGGTAACAACTGACAGACAACTGCAGATAGGTTAGTTCCTTCCTTGCTGCATTGCATTATGTGTCAGAGTAATGTAAAAATAGAATTGAAATTACCTGTAGGACCCGACATTGATTGCTGGTTACCACTTGACTACTTCTCTCTAGGTTGACCGGAAATAGTTGATGGTTCATACCAGGTTGTGTGTCATGCTGAGGTAGGATTCAATGTGGACTCTAGTTTAGATCACACACACTGTAGCTCATGAGTGATGCAGTTGGTAGTGAGGAGGAGGAACGAGTACTGGAAAAAGAGGTTGTCCATGCGATAGAGGTTGTCCCAGGTAGTAAGGTGCCTAGAGGACGAATCTATAGGATGTCTCCTGCGGAGTTGGATGAGCTCCGCCTCCAGCTCAAGGAACTCACAGAAAAGGGATGGATTCGGCGTAGTACCTCCCCTTACGGTGCGCCAGTCTTATTTGTCCCTAAGAAGGGAGGTACACTGAGGATGTGCATTGACTATAGGGGCCTCAATGCCATCACCGTTAAGAACGCGGAGCCCCTACCCCGCATCGACGACCTATTGGATAGAGTGCAGGGATGTCGGTACTTCACTAAGATAGATCTGAAGTCCGGATACCATCAAATTGCCATTAGACCTGAGGACCAGCACAAAACCGCCTCTCAGACCAGGTACGGTCTGTGCGAGTTTATGGTGATGCCCTTTGGCCTATGCAATGCACCTGGAACATTCCAACACGCAATGAATAGGATTTTCATGAGTACTTAGACAAGTTTATCGTCGTGTACCTTGACGATATTCTTATCTTTAGTAAGACTGTAGAGGAGCACACTGAGCACCTAAAAATAGTGCTAGGTCTCCTAAGACAGCACCAGTACAAGGTAAACTTGGAGAAATGCGAGCTCGGTCGCACCAAGATCTTGTACTTGGGTCATGAAATCTCCGCGGATGGGTTGAGGCCGGATGATGCCAGGACTGGCCCATACCTCAGACTGTTACTGAGGTCTGATCGTTTTTGGGGATGACCGGCTACTATCGTCCGTTTGTTAAAAACTATAGTACTATAGCTTCCCCATTAACTGATCTAACTCGACTTGACACCCCTTGGGAGTGGACTGAAGAGTGTGAACCAAGCTTCAGGAAACTGAAGTATGCTCTAACACACTATGAAGTTCTTAAACTTCAGGATCCTGATAAGCCATTTGTCGTGAGCTCTATGCCCTCTACAGAATCCGGAAGTTTAAGAACTTCATAGTGTGTCAGAGCGTGAGCTGCTAAAAAGCTAGCAAGTCCACATATGAGCGCGAGCTCTATGCCCTCTATAGAACGCTGGTCCATTGGAGACACTACCTCCTAGGCAGATTTTTCTACATTGAGATTTGACCATGAGACCTTGCGCTGGATCAAGACACAACCTGTACTCTCTGACGCACTCAAGCCGTGGATTCAAGTGATAGACATGTATGACTATCAATTTGATCCAATCA